TGGAGTTGCATACTGTCACCCAGGCTGGAGTGCAGTGGCACACTCATGGCCACCCCCAGCATCAACCTTGTGGGCTCAGGCAGTCCTTCTGCCTCAGCCTTCCAAGTAGCCAGAACTATAGGCGCGTCCTACCATACCTGGCTAATTTTTTGATGTATTGTAGAGATGAGGTCTCACCAAGCTGCCCAGGCTGGTCTTGAACCCCCTGGGCTCAGGCAATCCTCTTGTCTTGGCATCCCAAAATGCTGGGATTATAGACTGAGCCACTGCACCCGGCCATATGTGTCTTTTCATTTAGTCCTTTATTTTGTGTGTGTGGGTGTGTGTCAGAGTCATTCAGTCACCCAGGCTAGAGTGCAATGGCATTATCACAGCTCACCATAGCTTTGACCTTCTAGACTCAGGCGATGCTTTCACCTCAGACTCCCAAGTAGCTGGGATTACAGGCATGCATCACCACACCCAGCTAATTTTTTTGATTTTTTTTTATAGAGATGAAGTCTCACTGTTGCCTAGGTTGGTCTCAAACTCCTGAGCTCAAACAATCATCTTGCTTTGGCCTCCCAAAGTGCTGGGATTACAGGCGTGAGTCACCATGCCTGGCTTCATATATGATTTACACACTTATAAACTCCTAATTTAAAGACAAAGTAATGTTAACTTTAACATGTACTGCAAGCTTTCAAATAAATTTTTTATACAGATAAGGCCTTGCTGGCCTCTAACTCCTGGGTTCAAACAATCCTCTTACCTTAGCTTCCAAAGTTTTGGGGTTACAGGCATGAGTCATGACAGCCAGCCTAGTTCTTTTATGTCTTTCTAGAGTTTTTGTCATTTTCTCCACATAGGTCCTGCTCATTTCTTGAGAGGCAAGCTCCCTGAGGGCAAGAACTTTGTTTTCTTTTTCTTTTTTTAAATGTAATTATTTTATTTATTTATTTCCTCTTTTAATTTTTATTTTAAAATTGTGGGGTGCAATTCAGGGCTAGGTATACAAATATTCACTGTGCAAGTAACTTTGTTTTGACACTATTTTGTTTCCAGCATTTAGAATAGTGCTTCACACATCCATAAGCAGTTAATACTTGTATGGATCTCATTCTTCACCTGTCAGATCAGCAAAGGTGAACTAATTTGATAATACTGGTGAAGGTGTGAGAAAATTGGTAATCTTATATACTCCTAGTGAAAGTATACGTATTAATCATTTTTTAAAAATTTTTCTGAACTTTATGATGTTTTGACATCTTAAAAATTTGCTGGTCATGGAGAGAATGCCCTTCCAAATGGCTCCCAGCCAGGCTTGGTGGCTCAGCCTGTAATCCCAGCACTTTGGGAGGCTGAGGTGAGTGGATTGCCTGAGCCCGTGGGTTCGAGACCTGCCTGGGCAACTTGGCGAGACCTCATCTCTACAATAAATCAAAAAATCAGCCGGGTGTGGTAGTGCGCGCCTGTAGTTCCAGCTACTTGGAAGGCTGAGGCAGAAGGATTGCTTTAGCTCAGCAGATCGAGGCTGCAGTGGCCGGGAGCGGCCACTGCACTCCAGTCTGGGCGACTGTGAGACTCCAACTCAAAAACAAACAAACAAACAAACAAATGGCTCCCTAGAGCACTCTTTCTTTTTCTTTCTTTTTTTTTTTTTTTTGAGTAGGAGTCTCACTGTCGCCTAGGCTGGAGGGCAGTAGCATGCTCAGAGCCACTGCAGCCTCGATCTGCTGATCTCAGGCGATCCTTCTGCCTCAGCTGGAATTACAGGCATGCACCACCATGCTGGCTATTTTTTCTTAATTTATTGTAGAGATGAGGTCTCGCCAAGTTACCGGGACTGGTCTCGAACCCATGGGCTCAGGCAGTCCTCTCACCTCGACCTCCCAAAGTACTGGGATTGTAGTTGTGAGCCACCGCACTGGCTAAAATGAACTGGGGAAATGTGCCCCTACTCAACCCCAAACAACAGTCAAGGTTTCTTTTTTTTCTTTTTTTCCTTTTTTTGAGTAGGAGTCTCACTCTGTCGCCCAGGCTGGAGTGCAGTGGTACACTTACGGCCACTGCAGCCTCGACCTGCTGAGCTCAGGTGAGCCTTCCTCCTCAGCCATCCAAGTAGCCGGAACTACAGGCGCGCGCTACCATGCCCGGCTAATTTTTGATTTATTGTAGAGATGAGGTCTCACCATGTTGTCCAGGCTGGTCTCGAACCCGAGGGCTCAAGCAGTCTTCTCACCTCAGCCTCCCAAAGTGCTGGGATTACAGGCCTGAGCCACCGCGCCCAGCCTAGAGCATTCTTTCATAGACGAACCAGCCAGTCCTTTGTAGCCCCATCCACTTATCTCATACCCAGCCAATATTTCCCTTGCCCTGAGTCATTCCAGGACCATGTAATGGGCAACTAGGGACCACCCCTATGCCCAAAGCACACCAGAATTAGCCAATCTTAAATTGTCCTGCTTAGACTTTCCCAGGGAAACTCCAGTGATGGCTCTGACTAGACTTTCCATTTTGCCCGTCTTAAGTTCCACATCAAAACCTGACACTTCCACTATGGCACTGCATGACATGTGGCAACCTCTTCTCTGGAACCTATCAGGTTAATAAACATCCTTCCAAGCCTTGATCTTATCCTCCTGTGGCTGCATTGAATTTACTATACCATATTCAATATTTACATTCTGAGGACAGTATAAATGGATACAACCTCTTTAGAGAGCAATTTTTCTATATATTAAAATTTAAAAGCATGTGTCTGTTGACCGTGCAATACCATTTCCTATGGGTACTCACATATGAGAGCTAATTCTAAGACTAATAAATGTAGTGTTTCTAAATCAAACTGGAAACCACTCTAAGGTCTATCAATACAAAACTGGTTAAATTAATTATGCTACATCCATTTAACACAATGCTGTGCAACTGTTAAAAGAAAGAAGTCCTATATCTACTTACATGGATTGATCTTCAAGATACACTGTCGGGTCAAAGAAGCAAGAGCCAGAAAAGGAAGAGCAGTTCACTGGTTAAAGATAGAAGTTCCAGGGCCAACCCCTCTTTTGCCACCTTGTAGCTGTAAGACCTCAGGCACGTTATTCAATCCCTGTATGCCTTCAGTTTCTTATTTGTAAAACAGTAAGAGTATGGACTTTCCGCCTTTGTTTTGAGGAGTGAATGACTAAATGTGTGGGACAATGCCTGTCATATAGTGACAACTCAAAATCTTAGCTATTAGAATCTATGTAAAAATGTGTA